AGGCTTTCTGCACGTTGTACGTCCACTCATAGTTGCTTCATCGTCACAATCATGATGCAACGATTACATGACGACTAAACTTTCGGACACTCGGTCTCAATTAATTTGGCGTCTGAAAATTCGCGTAACGCAAGTAATTTCTGTTATCTTGGTTGATGTTTTCACAAAATTTTTACAAAACCTGCAATTTTAAAATTATAAACTGTGCTGCAATAAGTCTAGAAATAATTTTTCCTTAATGTTTCTTCTTTTCTTTTCCTGAAATGTTTTTGTGCACGTACGCAGAGACTATTTACAATTTCGTCATATTTGAAAGTTAAAACTCTCACACTTATTGAATTTTATTGCAATTATCCACTTTTTAATAATTTTCACAGATTTTATGCAAAAAATACTAGTTTTTATGCAAATATTCACTTTTTCACTAATTTTCCCCCATAAAATGTAAACAAACAATGCGTGCGCAACGATTAGCAAACGACATTGCCGTACTTATCCGTTTTTGCATCTTCTACGATTTGCCGATAACTAGCCGATAACGACAATTGTGCAGATCTCCTTTGAAATCGGCTCAAAATTTCAGGGCGAGACGATAACGCAACTATGATTGGACGAAAAGCGTTCAGATAGCCTAAGTGACTTAGGTTTTAACACTGGAAAGTAATGTCATGACAATACCAATACATGCACACTTTTTCACTTATACATGCATACTTTTCCACTATTCTCAATCACTGCAGTGATTATTTTCAAGGCAGTAAATCAGACAATGATGTGACGTATGCAGACAATAAATTTGACGGGCTGTCCGAGAAAGAAGAAAAATTCATAACAAAAGTACTAAAATAACACAAGAGACGCTGGTGTGTATGTAACTTTGTCTATTCTATATAATTATTTAGTTTTTAGATTAAATAGCTGGCGCGAAATGCGTATTATAATACACCGTTCACGTCCGACATTTTGTTCAAAATGAATTGTCATAACTATTGTCAGGGCGCATACGACACGGAGACAATTATTAATTGTCTGGGCAGCATTGTCTAATGTAAACGCGCCGTGAGTAACAGGCGCGTGCCTTCTCCTTTAATCCAATCAAACAACAAACGAGGGCAAAAGAAAAGGCACGTCCTGTTACTCACACTCGCTGCAATTATAACGAGTTGTCCCTTATTAGTCCGATTCATAAAATGTCGCAAAGTGGAGTATTTGGCGAAATGCCTATTTTGCGAACAAAGTTGAATGAACAACCTATCGCAACTCCGTTTCGCAAATGTAAAATTAAAAAAAAATGCCGCGCGTGGTTTAAAAGAAATTAATATATAATTGAATAGCAATGTCAAAAGAAGGTAAATCTATAAGAAGGGACAGCTCGTTACTTTGAAAATGTGCCGCGCCGGTTTTGACCGTTTCTGAAACGTTTGCAATAGGAATTCGTCTCCGTTTTAACTCTGTCCGCGGCGGATTTTTTATTTTCGCCTCGAATACGGAAAAGACAATCAAAACAGAAGAAAAGCGGCAAATGTGAATTTCTGTGGTTATTTTGCACAAGTGGTTGGAGAAATGTTATTTAATCTAGAAAATATATAAATTAAAGTGTTAAATATAGAATATTCAGTGCATATCTAAAAGACGAAGGTGCTTGTATGTGAAAGTGTCCATATCAATAATAAAATAAGTTTGTAATCGCAAAGTGTTTGTCAACAAGTACCGATTGTTGGCGTCTGTGGATAAAAGTGATCATTATTTTAAAGAAAATCAGTGTACTTTTATATAAAAATGCATTAGTTCAATAAGAAATCTGTGCATTTATATATGTGTGTACTTATATTTTGTTTTCATCAGGAAACACATTTGAAGAAGTGTGGAAAAAGTTATGTTTCGAGCCATTTGGTGGATAAAGTGTGTTTGTGGCCGCATATTAACAAAGCTAATGTTAATTATATACAAATTGCATTAGTCTACTATAAAATCTATGCATTTGTATATGAATTCCCATACGTTTTGTTTTCATCGGGCAAGAATAAATATTTACCAATTTTTTGTTCATATTCACGGAAAAAAACGCGTAAATTTGAAACATAAGTTGTCTCCGTCTTTCTCACATCCTCCGCCGAAACAAACGCGTAAATGTGGAACATAAATTGTCTCCGTCTTTCCCATGTCCTCCGCGACGAAATACGCGTGACATATTTACGCGCATACATACGTACATATATATGTACGCTTACAGTAGGCTGCACCTAACATGAACATCCTGAAGCTCAATTCTGCTTTTTATCGAAAATTTTGTAACCAGCAAATTTTGTTACCAAACATTGTCACCACTTCTTGTAACCGAAATTATAGGAACCTTGGTAACGTTTTAATTTATTCAGCATTTTAGCTATGAAGTTTTGTAGAAATTCTGTTGTTGTATATATCATGGGGCAATATTTTGTTACCTGCTTTTGAGATGGAAACAAATTTTACCGGCTACAAGGGTGCGCAGAATGCGAAAAGGGTTAAAAAAAGAGAGATGTATTTTCCGGTAAAAAAAAAATATTACCAACGCCGAATAGGTTAATGTACGATTTTGTGTTTGAAGCTTTTCATGATAGTAAAAAATATTTGTGTTACCAAAGCAGAATAGGTCTGTATGTATACACTCACTTATACATGCTTCAGAGCTTTTCAATGTATGATTAAATTTTTAGAATTCTATACATGTTGCTCGAAGTATTTAGAGTCATCTGTAAACAAATCGTAAGCGATCGGTTTACAAAAATTTTAAAAATGATGACCGAAGCTGGTGAAGGCAACCATGTTGCCAAATTACAATTGTTGTAAAACCATTTATGTATGTGATTTTAGAAGTTTTGAGTTTACATCAAAATATTATGGGCCATGTGTTTTTTATTAAAATAAAATCTTAAACCACTAATTGATAATTTAAAAGTTAGAAGGAGCACGGCGATTTAGAAGTTTAGATAAAAAGTGGCTAAACTCGAGATAAATTATTTTTTGCAAACGTCCTCAGATTTTACTGCGGAGTTGCAACTTTTCATTTGACTGTCTGTGATTTCTTCAATTTTACATTTTAGAATATTTGTGGCCCTCTGGCACAAGTTGCGCTTGTGGGCGATGAGTTTGCAGGGAGATGTATGGTCATTGAATTATGAATGAATGAGTCTGACCTTGAAGATATGCGCATGCGTTTATGAATGAATTTGTTATTGTTGTATTTTAGTCGCATATGCGTATATGGACATACATACATACGTCTATTTGCATGAATGCATGTAGATTTGTTAGGACGGAAATCGCATGAGTACATTTATACAAATTGGTGTAAATTATTTATTGATTTGAAATGTTCACTTTATTATTACATATATTTGGGCAATTCACAAGGTGTTGTGAAGTTATATTTTCCTAACAAAAGTTGTGTTAAAACACGACGGTTGTGAACACCTGTTACGATTATTTATTATATCTCAGCACTTAACCTCACATAACACCGAATAAACATAGGTTGCAGAGTTGTATCGTCATGTGTTATTTTTCTTCACAAAACAATAACAACATTTTTACAACTGTCATGAAATATCATGACTTCACGACAAACACGACAAATACGACACCTTGTGAATTGCCCAATTGTATTTGTTAATTAAAAGGTATATTCATTCATAAATAACAACTTTACAACTTTCATATTAAAGAGGAAGTTTGTAAAGCTCTTGCATAGCGAATGCATTTAATTTGCTTACATTTGTTTAGAATTACAAAATAAAGAAAATCTACGCACACGCGCATGTTAAATGACCACGGCAAATAAACAAAAAGCGTCGCGGCCATCTTGTTTGCTATTTCATTTCTTTCATTCTATCATCGGTCGCTCTTTCTTAAACGTTCTTTGTCGCCGCGAAATCTAATGTGCGGCGAATTCATTTACGAAACTTGATGTCAAAACGGACGCGAATGCCTCTTGCAAACCTTCCAGACTCACTCGCCACACTTCAGCGAGTTGTCTCTTCTTATAGATTTACGATCTTTGGTAATGTATAATTTAAAAGTATTGTTCTCTTTGCAAACATGTTTACTTGCCGACAAACAACATTGAATGAAAATCGGCAACCGATCCTCTAGTGTGTAGCGAAACGAGTTGAAACCGATTGCTCCGATCTGGGGATCACGAAACTTTGAAACGATACTCGTTCAAACGATACTGACAAAACGACCTCGTAAAAACACTGATTTATGCATTTGTGTTGCTGTTACGTATTACTATTATATTACATTTACATTGGACCAAAATGCGTGATTTGAAATCAGTCATTTGAAGGTGTTTACACTGCTTGATCCGCATTTGCTTTGACTTCTCATCAAATGAAAAGGGAAGACAAAAACAAAATGTATGTAAACAAACACTACATTTATTATATTGTTAACGCTTTTTGGACACAAAAAGGCAATTATTCTTTGATTAAACTAAAAATGTGTAAAGCTCTTGTATAAATTAACAATTTTTACACACAAATTTCAAAGATTTATTTATTTCGTTGTGTTTGTTTTGTGTTTGAAAAATTCCAAATGTCAAAGACAAACCAAAGCTTTTGTGGAACTTTTGTTTCTGAGTGCGTTCAATAAAATAGTACGGCAATTGGAACGCATTTGTTTCGTGATTTTGTGTAAATGCGTCGAAATGCGTCATTCTGGAAATGTGAATTTGTATGGAGAAATGCGTGATTTGGCCTCGCATTTGAGGTTTCTCGCCCAAATGACGCATTTGGGCTCAATGTAAATGTAATATTACTGTTACGTGAAGCAAAACTGGAATCCAGTTGACGATGCAACACAAGCGATCAAAAAATTTTTGGTTTTCGTGAAGCAACACAATCTCGACACGATATCGTTTAGACGATTGTCGTCATACGTGATTCATGCCCTATTGCCTGTCTGTAGCACGCTTAAATGATATGTCTGTCGGACTATCGATAGTACCTAATTATAAGCGATACTAGCGAAAAATATATGTATAGATACTATCGATAGTTTTGCATTTTTAGTATAATTATACCCATACCTCTTGTTTACAAACAAAATATCAAGATGGAAAATAAATTAGAAAGCGCCGCAGTTGCGCCCATAACTGCAGGTGTGCAAATAGATTCATTAAGCAGTACAGGTTCTTCGATTTCTACTAGCTCCGCATCAATTTCTACAAAGACGGCATTGAATGACTGCTCTATTGCCTGGATAACTTATTTAAATGCGTTAAACAATTTATGTACGGCTGGAAGTAAATTGGGTAGCGCGTTGACGGTAAGAAAACAATTACAACCGACTTCCCACTCTGATTTGGGTTACCCGTCGTACGGTTTACCGGCACAAAATATACGTACATATCGTCGTTTAAAGTCCAAAACCGCGTATCACCGTTCTGCAAAACCGCGTAACTAACATTGCCAAAAATTGGATTTGCTCACCGAAGCTCTTGGCTCAAGCCTTATCCATTCGTTCTGAATCCGTAATTATCTAGGTGGGCTTTCAACCCCCAAAATTGGTCCAAATTTTGGACAGAGGGTACCATTTGATGCGTCTGGTCCCCAAGAACAAGAACCCGAAAGCGGAAATTAACTTTTTTCACTCGATCAAAAGTTATTAACAAAAAATTTTGGGGATTGAAAGCCCAACTAGGTAACTACCCTAAAAACGTAGACCGATAGTACTTTTTACGCTGATTTCAACTATATAAACATTATTTAGAGCAAATTTTGTACGAACACAATTGTGGGGTACTCTATAAATTTGTACAACGATTTTGGGTTGCTGTGCCCAAACGCGTGAAAAATATCCACGACATATCTCTGCCAAAGGTGTCTAGCCCGCCTTCTTTAGCAAAACAGAAAGGAAAATTCTTTTTTTTTTTTTGATTGTTGAGAGTATTGAATGGCCGGACACTCCCACACGCCAGGGTGATCGACGAACTTAAAGCGTTTCTCTACACCATTGTTGTCGACTTTCAGGGCTTCGGCTTAGATACACGCCAATTATAAAATATCTCCAAACAAAACAAAAAAGGCAGAAAAATGCCTATTTCCAAATGTGCAATTAGCATAAAAAAAAAAAAATTAAATCAAATCATATCAATCCCAACATGCCCTGGGGTCCATACTATTTCACATTTTAAGCCACTGTTATTGATAGTGGAATGTATTCTATAATGTAGTTGTCGGATTCACATTTTTACAACAAGCTACACGAAGACAAACTATCAGTAAAAATGACAATTTTTTTAATGTTGTCCTCAACCGCTATGTCAACTGCTTTGATAATAGCCAACAACTCACTAAAAACAGATGAGGTCTTAAAATTAATACTGAAAATAAATGTCTGCTTATGTGTCACATTATAAACTGCGCAACCGATGGAGTCTTCCCCACCCGACGCATCAGTGGCAAAAATTGTAAACTCTTTCCGTGTACCTATGTACAAGCCTTCTATACTCCACTTGATACTGCTCTTTAGGGAAGTTCGCTTTATTACCCTCAAGCACCCGTCTCCTAACTCTCAAATGCTCACTTTTATAAAACTTTGTATACGTGCAAATATTATTGAAAATCTCCTTAAATTGATGGTAGATTATCGAGTAGCTGGAATTATTCTTTTTATTACCTTTAATACAATTAAAAACTTCCGGATTTACAAATTTAACTTTTATCAATTCACGACAAGTTAGAAATTTTTCCCTTTCTCTAGGTTCAAACTCATTAGCTAGTACATATATATTGTGAGTCGGGGTGGAGGGTGTTAAATCCAAACACCTTCTCAGGGTATTGTTCTGAAAAGCTCTAATTTTTTGCTCCACAGACTTAGGATATATCATGAACCGTGGTTCTAGCCACCTCAATTTTGGTTGGTTTGAACAGATTCACGGCAATATTCGGCATTACCCCAGCTTTAACTGAGGTAGTCGATTTGATTAACTTTACATTATTAGATGCATTCTCTAACAGCTTATTATAATGTGCTTTAACACACAAGGACGCCGTAAGAGTGCGACCTATAAACTTAATTTGTTTAACTTACTCAATTGCCTGATTATTGACCTTCAAATTGATCTCTTTTTTTCAGTTTTTGGAAAACTATAACTTTGGTTTTTTGTAAATTAATAACAAGGTTCTGCTCAAGCTTGACTACTAGTCTCTTAAAATCCCAATCGTGTATCAAAATAAGAAAATCATCTGCAAATTGGTATACATCAGTCCAATTATCCTCACATAAATGTAGGGATCTGGTATAAACATTAAATAGAAGTGGAAAGAGGCAGCTACCCTTTCTTGTAAGAAGGACCTAATCCAGTTCACATACTTGCTTTCAACTTTAAAATCATTAAGAATATAAGACAAAGCCAGCGTCGGCACACTATTGTACGCATTACTAATGTCTACTACAACTGCCACAACTTTTTGATCTCTATCCTTGTACACATGAATATTTTGTAAGATTTCGTTAAAACACATGGAGGCAGACCTCCCTTTGCGATAAGCAAAGCATCTGTTCGGAAGCACGCCCTTTTTAGCTAAGAAAGGGACCAATCTGGCCTTTACCATTAAATTAACTGTTTTAAGACAACCGGTATTAAAGAAATGGGTCTATACGTTCCCACGACAGCCGATTCTACGTACCGGAATGACTCGGGTTTTACCCGGCCGAGGGCTGTTGTTTCGGCGATCTAACCTCGTTTAGGTCGGCGAAGTATCTCAGAAGTTGTTCATCCATAGGGCTACATTCGCTACGTATTCTTCTACTCAGGGCTGGCATCGAGTCAAACCCAGGGCCAGAAACCTACACCTGCTGTGTATGCCGGAGACGATTACACCACAACTCCACCTCAGTCAAGTGTAATGCCTGCGAGGGGTGGAGTCACCTCAGCGTCTGCTCGGGACTACGGACACATCGACAGTGGACCATGACGTACGTGGTCCCCTGTTGCTCAAACGGAGCAGCCTCCACGACTAACCTCAGTCCACCCGAGCAGCCTCACACAGTCACCACAGCACAACAACATAATAACACCACAGACCATACCACAGCCACGACAGACCACAAAACAAACACAACCGCACCACTACCCACACGCCGCCGCCAACAACTCGTGGTTCCCCCTACAATCTGCACGGTATGTCAGACCACTATACTCCGTAATGTGACATCAGTCAAGTGAAACACCTGCCTAGACTGGCAGGGCTTTAGGGCATGTTCAGGTCTGCGTACCACACGAGATTGGACTGGGAACTTCGAGGGCCCGTGTTGCGCAGCTCGGTTGTTGTTGTTGTAGCAGCATACAAATTCCCCAAAGACATTTTGGGGAGTGTTGCTGGAGTGACAGTCTTTGGCCAGATATAAATCTGGGTCGTTCCGGTTACGTAGACCCGGTCGCAGACCTCAACTGCGACGCCTCCCGCCATCACCACAGCGCGGCAACCATCACAGCCAACAGCGGTAGCATCGTTCCCACGACAGTGGGGTCTACGTAACCGGAACGACCCAGATTTATATCTGGCCAAGGACTGTCACTCCAGCAA